TTGCACAATTACGTAACTAAGAAGGTATACTGATAGTAAAACGTTTACCCGTATTATTGCACAATTACGTAACTAAGAAGGTATACTGATACGTAAACGTTTACCCTATTATTGCACTATTACGTAACTAAGAAGGTATACTGATGTAAAACGTTTACCCCGATTATTGCACAATTACGTAACTAAGAAGATATACTTATGTAAAACGTTTACCCCGATTATTGCACAATTACGTAACTAAGAAGGTATACTGATGTAAAACGTTTACCCGGATTATACGTGAAAAAAGCTGTAGCCGTTTTAGTTTATACACAAAATTAAACAAGAATGAATAGATGTTGCAAATTTTTTTTTGACGTAGATTTAACTCAGATTTGTTTATTGCCTTTATTCTATAAAAAATACAGAATGACACAGCGCAAATAAATTATAAACATTGTTTATGAACTGTTAAAAATAACGCTTTAGAAATTTTAAAGCTCGTTTTCTTGTTTCATTTTACAGAAAACTAAATATAAATATATTGCGAAGGGTTTCACAATAAACAAACGCTACATTATGAGGGTAGGCGAGTTGCACTGTAGGTTCTTTGATTAAAGTTAATTAACTCAACATCGTTACTAGAATTACTAGTGTGAAGACAGTTACGTACTTTAACCACAAGTGAATGTAAGAAGAATATGAACGGAAACGTCCCCAGTGGCATAATGGTAAGACTGCGGACAACGCTATAAACCGGGTTTCGATACCCGTGGTGGGCAGAGTACAGATGGCCCTTTGTGTAACTTTGTGCTTGATATCAAACAACAACAACAAAGAACAGGAACTCTAATTTGTAGTTTCAAAATACTGAGAGTTGTTTGTTTTAGAGAAAAGCCACAGTGAGCTAGCTATCTGCTGTGTCCCCCAAGGGGAATCAAACCCCGAATTTTAGCGTGGTAAGTCCGTAAACTTACAAATACCTAAGAAGGTATACTGGTGTAAAACGTTTACCCCGATTATTGGAGGCGTTCTAGAAATTTCAGTTTTAAGTAACAATACTGAACAACATTTAAGCGTTTACGTACACACGCATATATTGTTGATTCTTACTCTCGAGAATCTATAGCAAACCAATAATATATACTTTTTTTTTGGCGCGTCGCGATGGTTATATTTATAGACGTGTAGAGAGTTTCTCGAAATTTCAGTTTACGTAACAATACTGATGCTAACACTAGCGTTTACGTATACACATCTGTTGTTGATCCTTATACTCGAGAATCTTCTACAACTTTAGAGAATAGGCGAGAGTTTCACAATACATATTTAGCAGTATATGCTATGTAAACTTCTAAATATAAATTTAATACAAACATCGATATTAAAATATATATATATAAAAATAAATCCGTCACAACTCCCTTCTTAGAGAATTAAAAATTGGTGTTAGACAATTTTTAACTAAGATATTATAAAAGTGACAGTCATATTCCACTGTTAGATTAGAGTAGCCTTAACGTTTGCAGTGGATACTGTTGACTAGCTGCCTTCTATCTTGTCTGTCAGTTCAAGATTAGAGATGGCTAACGTAACTTCCAAGAACACAATTCACAGCGTTGTAGGCAATGATACGCCACATGTTATCAAAGGACAATGTGAAAATTTTGAACATGTCATTCATAGTCCATTGAGTCACTCGTGTATTGTGCGTAATATAGGCAAGTTTCGTACCATTCACATGTCATATGACATAATAATTACATAAAAAGATCATCCTGCGTCTAACAAGTAATAAAAGTTGAGAAAACTGCACTGAGAAATGCAGTAATTTTAAAATTACTAAAAAAGTGAAAGAAAATTTCTTGGAAAATTCTTTTGAAAGCAATAAATGAAAATATTAAATACGTCACTAAACCGTTAACGACACTATAAGTGGCAGCAGCAAACAGTGCTATGAAATATATCTATAAATTAACAAACATACATATTCTTCTTCATCTATTATTATGTTTACCGCTATTACGAATTTTTATTTTATCTTATCCAATCATAAATAAATTATTACGTTCAATACATCTTGAATTTTCATTACATTGATCATTATCATTAATGATAATTATATGCACTTTCATTATGAATATTTACTATATCTACTTCCGTTGTTAGATGTCATCATTAGCTCTATATAAGTGTTTCATATAAATATATTTATTATGTATACCTTGTCATTAATACTATCATTTATTCCATCGTGGATATTGTTGTGTATATTCTTATTTTGAATATTTATTACAGTTATTATATTGCAAAAGGCGTTACTTTTTCATCATAAACACATATTATGTCTAGTTGAAAACACTATCTGGAAAAGGGTTCCTCAACGCATTTTGTGTAGTGTTCCTTTGAATATGCTTGAAGAGAATTACAAGCATTTGGAGGCATAAACATAAAATTCTGTAAAAAACAAAGTTTAAAAATTTTACAGGCTCTGTTTACACAATTTCAGTATAACACCACGGATATTTTCTACATTATCATAGGTTTATTGAAGAATATAACTATGGCTGTAGAACAAATCATGAACAATCAGAAGGAAGATGAAAGTCAAAGGGAAAAGGTATTTGATGTACTATGTTCTATATAGTAAAGTTAAACATAATGATGTATATTAAACAGTTAATATACTACATTCTTTAGATAAAGTTTAATTAAAGATGTTATTGGAAATTCTAGTCAAATCTATTGTTTTAATTCTTATATCAGAAGGAAAATATATTACAAACATACGATGATTGAAAGTAGAAATTAGTTTACAGCACGGCTAATAAGTACATATAGGGAAAAGTGAATAATTCTGGACATATAGCTTCTTTCTACACTGAATATATATATTTAGCCTTAGAGTGATCCTAGAAAAATATATTTCTTAATCTAAATTCTTATTGGATTTATTTGCCATATTTGTTGATTATCTTATGCCTTGGTTCTCGTTTCTCATGTTAAGGTTCTGAAATATCTGTGTCCAGCTCTCTACAATGTGTTAGCAAACGGCCTACTCCCTTCTGATGTTGGGCCAGATTCTCCACCTAACTCTCCATGGAATGTGGCAGAAGCATCTTCACGATTTGGTACATAAAACATTACACTCATGAGAATAGTAAAATGTTAAGTTTACACTTTATTGAACGTTTCACCTTGATATATTGTTCTTTGTTGAAAGATAATTCATGCACATTTATTGTGTGTATTAAGTTTATCAAATGATTATACTTTCAAATATTATTTAGATCGTTTTCTACGTAATGAAATGGGAGTATGTGCACATGTATATACTAACGAAAAGTAAAGTTGAGTTGGCTGAAGCGTAAAAAAAAATTAAGAGAAATAATATGTGTACATAATATTTTATTACACATATAAGGAATATTTGATATTTTTATTTCATGTATAAGAGTTATTCATTTCTATGTTTAGCTGTTTTACATTCATACTTGGTTATGTTATTAGGGCATTCAACTAAAGAACTTGAAGATCTAGTCAATTACATTGCTGGAAAGGACTGCTTAACTGGACATACCTGTAGATTCTATATCTTCATTCTCGGTCTATTGAAGTAAGTCTTTTGTGAATAATTTTATCTATTTCAGTTAAGAGTCAAAATATCAAATGTAATGTTGTTTGAAAATGTTCTTTGTTATACAATCTGTCATCTGAAGCCAGAAGATTACTTTATTTTGATACTTACTTATTTCGAAAATGTCTCAATTTAACAGAATTTGGGTTTGAATTCAGTATATGTACCTTTCTTACGTAATAACCCTCAACAACAACAAAAATCCTCATCTAAGTGAACTTTTTCTATTTTCATTATGCCATTTCTAGTCCTGAAGTTGTGAGGGGTCTAAAAGAAATTATATGGAAGTTTATGAATTTTTTTTACACAATTTATTATATATATATATATATCTTAACTTCCTTTCTTTTACCTCTCCGGATTTGAATGTGTAATATAAAACAATAAATGTAAAAAAGATTAATAATTGTTTTCATTATCTTTAATCACCAGTAGAACAAGCTTTCATTTTTAAGTTGGTTTTAAAGACTGTAATGCAATAACACATTACTAATAAAACTTCTACTGATGTATTTCAAATAGCTAAAAAAAACTTTATTAACACTTTACATAAATTGTTTGTGGCAACCTACAGCCTTGGAATCATTGACTGGTGGTTTCTTCATTTGACATCATGTGAGCCTTTGATTCGCCAGCATTACCAATCTGATGCGTTACTTAGTCTACTGGCTTCTCCGTTAGCTACCAAACTGTGTGAGGGGCTTTTGATTAAACTTAGAACTCTTTCCTCGTTACAATTTGCTTTAGACATGACTGTTACTAGCAGTGAAATGGAAAATATTGCTAAAGATTCTCTAGTATCAACACCACTTGCGGAACAGGAACCTTTAAAACCAGCCAAGAAACCTAATGTAGTTCAAAAGCCTCAGTTTGAATCTACAGCTTGTGAGTTTGATTTGGATGAAGAAGCAATAGCTTCACCTTTGAGAAGATCTAAGAAAACTACTCAGCTCATACACTTTATTGCGGATGAACCTTCAACGACTTATTTTGATGATAAACGTTTAAATTTATCTCCTATGAAGAAAAATAGCTTGAACTGCAATGTTGTTAAAAAAGAGAATAAAAATCATAATAAAAGTGCACTAGAAGCAGTAATAGACGTAGCACCACCACAGCAGAGGGAGTCTAACATTGATAAATGTTATGAGGTAAGACCACCAGAAACACTAGATATGGATCCTGCGAAAGATGTACTTCAAAGAGCAGTTGATTTAGCTTTTCCAACGACTCCGATACGCGAAAGGGAAGCTGATGAATTGCGTTATTTAGCAATGGGTAAAATTTCTAACAACAAAATTCAAGATACTGACATATGTTTTAGGAAAGCAAGCACAGAGAGTTTATCGGGAAACCATACTGAGTGTTGTAAAACTGAATCACAAAATAAACAGAATGATCAATTGGGGAACTGTTTTGAAGATTTGAAACGGAAATGGGAGCAGTTGACATCTTTACCTAGCAACGATGGCAAACAACAGACTACAACAATCACAACAACCATATCCAAGCGGCCTCCTCTACCCTTGCAGTCAAGATCCGACAAGGACTCTGAGAAATCGGGAAATCCTGGAAGTTCACGAGTATTGCGACAAGCAACAGCAACTAGAAAAGTGAAAAAATCTCTTCCGGCTTCTTCCAATTTTCAAGAAATTTCTTCTAATCAACAACCATCACAAAACAACACAAATTCTTCCAAACAGTTTGCTTCTAGAGGAAACAAGGAACCTGTTGTAGGATCAGCTGTAAGGAAAACACTTACTAGTACAACAAGTGGGCCACCAAATCCTACAGTTAAACAAGTGACTACATCAAACGAATTCTCAAATAACTCTATCAAACAAAAGGGAGTTTCTTCTGCACCGAGTTCTCCAATTAGGAAATATAACCCCAGAAGAACTTCTGATAATTTAAGTTCAGGCATTTCCAACTCACCTACCTCCACCAGGCAATCTACTGTTAAAGGAGGATCAGAATCCAGAAGGCCCAGAAGCTATCCATCTCAAAAATCACTTATTCCAACACAGAAAGGCAATCGAATGTCTTCTGGACAACAGAAAAGAACAACACAACATTTTCCAGTTAGTTCTTTCCGATCTTAAAACAAAGGTGCGTAGCAAAGCAGGTTTGTGTTTATTATATCGTATAAAGATGTGTGGATGATTTACCGATACAAATTAGGTTTATAGAAAAGCTGTGGTTATTCTATAGTGAGGTGTATGAATTTTATATTATACTATGGTTTTCGATCTTCAGTTCATTCTAGATTAGCAGATTAAAGAATATGAATAAGAATATAATTATTTTTTTTTGCTACTGTAGGAAAAGTGTATCTACATAACGTAGCATACCAATTTAATACCTCCATATGTTTTTCAATATACATTTCAAAATTGTATTTTACTGTCAGATAAGGCATTCAAGCCCAATAAAAAGTTGAGGATATATAACTGGACTTTTAAAGTTGGATAATTTCATTTTGGTTCGGGTAAATTACCTTATTTTAATTCTTGATTGAAATTTTAAAGTGAGATGTCAATATTTTGGTTAAAGTAAATTGTTAAATTGGAAGAAATAGCACCTTTGTCTGTTTGAAATTACTTTATTTCACGGGCATATTCATATTTATGTATTTTAAATTAGTCTAATTTATTTTCATACCAACAGATATGTGATATGATCCGGAAATATGTCTCTAAGAGAAGAACTTACCAACTACCAAAGGACATCAATGGTATAAAATATTAAAAAATAACCATAAAAGCCTACCTGGTATACCAGAGCTAGGAAAGTGAGCTAGATATTTACAATGCTTCTGTACGTGTATCATTGACAAAACTAATTAATATGTGTAATTATCGTTTGTATTATTGACCTCAGTATCACTTAAACTTGTCTAAACTGTGTGTGAGATATTTAAGCATGATTGGCATCATTATCAAATGTGTGCCATTTCTAATTCACATGTTGTGTCATATAGGTGTACTAAGCGTACTAGTGGAATTAGTAAATTCTTTAGAATAGATTTAGGTAGAACAAACTCCAAGATTTAGGTGGAATGATTTGTCTATGCAGCTTGAAATCTATGTACTAAAACAGGGCACTGCAAAACTTTGAAATCGTTTGAGTCAACTAGCCCGACAGGTTGATGCAGTACCGTTTTCTAAATCTTACTCACAAGCTTAGTTTTACATCTACAAACATATACATATATGTATACACTTCCTTCTATGAATTATTCAGTATTCACTTCAATCTTACTTCAGCTAGACATTTAAAAGACGTGTATTTGATGAAGGATTAAGATACTTGTATTATTGTGAAAACCGCATAAGTGATATTATTTTAGTCTATAGATATTTCACTGTTTTTCATTAATATCACAAATATTACAATAAAATATAAATTATTTTTGTTCGTAAGCTTCTGTATTTCAAAGAACAGTTAGTACATGTGATTTAATAACAATTAGTATATTTAAGGGGACAACTCCAGAGTTTTAAATATTGTTATACTTTACTAAATTGTAGAACATATAAAATTACTTAATTTATAGAATATAAAATAGTAATATTTTACAAAATGACAGTGTCTCAGCATAGGTTACGTTTTGTGTCTGAATTTTTCTTATTTCAAGAAATCTCTAAATGGTAATATTATATATTAATATTACCTTTAAATTTCAAAACTTAGCGTTTATACATGATTTCATTATATTTGCTCTTCACTTTCAACTGAATACATATGTTGTTATAATCTAGAAGAAACCTTCATTACAAATCAGTTTTTTTACACTCACCGAGATCTTACACATTTGTATATGTTCTGTGCCTTTAAATGTTTCGAGATTTGGTATTTGTTTTCAAATTTGTAATACCCATGCTTATAAACAGGAGAACAAAATAATAACATTCAAAGAAAAAAAATGCTAAAAGCTACAAATTCTTTAAAATATAAGAACTGGATGATAAGAGTGTGAGTAGAATTACAAGAAGTTCTTAAAGTGGAATTTCAACAAAACTGTGTTTGTTAATTACTTAAATCGTCAAATATGTTTAAAACATATTGTACTTAACCGGATAGGGAACAATAGACATGACTTTTAGAAAGGAGGTTAATTAATGTGTTATTAACAACCATTAGGAAATTTATTAAATTCTTTGATTGTTATATTATTGAACACAAGTGTGTACCAATAGCTACTACCATTCTTGGTAATCTTGTTAATTGTAAATTATTCTATTTTTCGAAATTATTTTTCCTTCGAAGTTTGTGTTTCGAAGTAACGTGTATTAGGATCTTCTCATACGTTACATACGTATTTGCGTTCCTGTAACAATTTCATAATTTTAGTATTTTAACTAGTATTATATATTTTGCAAAACGAACGAAGATAAATGACAACACTTATTTGTGTTACAGAAATCGGATTGATTTCCAAAATTATATCGTTCCCCAACCAAAGCCTTAAGCTTTTCGAGATTTCAAACTATAAACCGAAGAAAATTCATAGATTAACATGCTATTGTTTATAAAACATTCTGATCCAATTGTTGAGAAATGAAAGACTATTGAGTAGTATGCTGTATAATACGCATCTGCAGAATGTAGCAGATGAGTCATATTAAAATAATCTATGCCATAGCAGTTTTTGATCAAAATTAATTTCCTACTATCTAGTAAGAAACCAATTTTAGTGTTTGGAAATACCCTACAATACAATGAACAACACGAGATGTGTTTATTCAAGGTTGATGGAGGTAAGTAAAAAAGAAAAGAAGACAAATTTAGATATGCAAATATAATGTTAGATCTTCATTACCATGAAACATGTACTTCAGGTGCCTCGAAACATGTAGTTACATAAAATTTTTGATATCCAGTTATTTATCTTCTATAAAAAAAGTAGATAAATTTAAAATAAGCAATTTCAATGTTAGGTCTTCACTAGCATGAAGCATATTTTTTAGGTGCCTCGAAACATGTAATGATATTAAATTTTTGATATCCAGTTGCTTATGTTGTGCTGCCTATTACGTATACAACTGCTTAATTTTTCAAGACAACGTTGTTTATCATTTTACAGTGAAAAGGGGTTTCATAGAGAATACTGCAGACTGCATATTTTATCAGATATCTAACTTACTTGCTATATATATATATCAGTATTTGCATACTGTTTGGTTATATGACCATTGCTATTAGGTAAGTATTTTTACTTTAAAAAACGAAAAATTGCTTATGTTTAATCAGTAAAGTGCACCGAGTAGTTTTAATGAAGTATTTTTTACAATTAAAAATATATTTACTGCAAATTACCAGTGCTTGCTTATTTACTTGTGGCTCTTTGAAATGTGGAACTAACTCTGTCCACTACGAGTAAACATAACAAAATATAAATTATAAAAGCGTTTACTGTAGGAAATTAAGTAAATCACTTAATTATAAAAACACATAAGAGAAATATCGTGAGTTCCAAAGATGCTAGTTTGAGCAAAAGTTTATCGTCTTTCATTATCTTTTTGTGTATATTTTGTGTTATATTTTACATACCCCATTGCTAAAACATAGGAAGAACAGTCACTTGTAATCTTACAGTTTGATATCATTGAATTCAGAAGTAATTAAATCTTTGAAACTAAATATTTTTAGCTCATTTTTCTAATTAGCCCACCATTAATTGGAGTATATTCAATATGTAAATTAAAAATAGTACACATTAAATATAGCGGTATTTATCTGGAAATTTCGTTATTTTTAATTAAAAAGAAGCTCATCATTCTAGTCAGCATACCCAGCCACAAGTTTAAAAGCTCCACTTATTCCAGGAACTCCCCTGGTGAGACAGCGGTAAGCCTACAAACTTACAAATTAAAATCCGGGGTTCGATTCCCTGCAGTGGCTACATCGCTATTTCCTAGATTAAAATAATTAACACTTACTTAAGGAAAAACAACACATAAACAATATTATCTACAAAGTATATCGGTGTTGTGTTACTTAAAAAAATAAGTGAGTTTGGGGTTGGTAATATTACTTATTGGTTTATGGTAAGTTCAAATGCTTTCAATTGAAGTTATTTTTATATGGTTATTCATTGTATTTGTCTTTATTTGTCTAAACCTGGTACCACTACGTATTAACACAGATAGAAGTATTGTTGCATTTTCGAACATATCTATTTTACAGTATTATTGAGGATAACATTGTAAAATGAGTTATTGTCGAACTACGCGGTTAGTTGTTTCAATCAGCCTGATACATATCTTTTTCAGTTTATGTTTTTACTTGTCAGCCAAGCTAACAAAGTTGTAATTCCCATAGTAACATAAAATATTTATTTCTGGAATTCGTTGTTTTTTTTTTTTCTAATCGTGAAAATACATTTATTAAAACAAGCCACCAATGCTCAATTTGTCAGACATATGACGTTTTTAGGTGTGTTTTTTTTAATGAAAAATTAAGTTTTTTAATTTAAAAATCGTTAAAAGTGACAATTAATTCTTTAACTATTTTGTTTCAATTTTAAATTTCAAAAATCCAAATGCAATTTACCGCTTTAAATTTTACCTGATAAACAGTTTTCTTGGTTCCCGTATTTTATAATGAGAGTTTCTAGCCCAGAAACCTGTTTATTCTACAAGAGTAGACCAAAGGTAAAGGTTTTAAAATACCACTTTCCATGATAAGTTAATGCAAACAGTACTATAACACACGTAATCATCGTGATTCTAGCATGACTTGCTTTCAATCTTTTTTTTACAGTTTTTTCTTGTGAACTTTGAATCTATCAGTGTTACATATTTGTAGAACCAAAAGGAGAACTGATAAATAATTCCCGTGTTACATATTTATATAGCTAAAATAAGAACTGATAAATAATTCCCGTGTTACATATTTATAGAGCTAAAGAAAGGAGAACTGATAAATAATTCCCGTGTTACATATTTATAGAGCTAAAGAAAGGAGAACTGATAAATAATTCCCGTGTTACATATTTATAGAGCTAAAGAAAGGAGAACTGATAAATAATTCCCGTGTTACATATTTATAGAGCTAAAGAAAGGAGAACTGATAAATGATTCCTGTGTTACATTTTTATAGAGCTAAAAAAGGAGAACTGATAAATAATTCTAGCTTGTTTCGTGGATTGCAAATTGGTATAATTTTAACTTTTTGAAAATATTAAAGCAACAGCAATTTTGTTCTATATATTGCTTTTATTTGGTTTCAATTGTGATAAGTCTTCTGAGATGTTTATAAAAATCATTTTTAACCCATGTATAAGGGAGGAAAAATTTAAACATGTCTTCATGTGTAAGTTGTATTTCCTTGTCGTTTTTGTGCCTAATATTTCGTGTGCCAAACGATCAGAGAGCATTTTTTAATTTCGTGTAATTGCTCTAAGAAATATTTATAGTAGAGGCAAGATTACTTAAAATCATATGTAATGTTTCAAAATTATATATTGTCACCGAGATCAGTTAGGAAAACATATAAATATATGTATTATATATATATTAAACACCTAGAAAATAATAGTATATGTCACAGTTTTTCATATTGACGTTAGATTAATTTATACTGATTAATGATGTATTTCAAGAAAAATGAAAAGTTGTGAGAAACACAGTTAAAATATATTGAGATTGCGTATTCATACTTATGTATTTGGAAATATAAATAAATAATTAGAAACTAAAGTTGATATGGAAATAAACATAAACTAAAACGCAATAAATAGTAAACATAATATTATGTGTTCTAACTAAGAGAAATTTTACTCTTCATATTACTAATTATATAAAAGTACTTTTGGGTATAATCAACATAATACACGTTTCTATAATTTTGAATTTTACAATAAACGCTACATATAAGTCAATCAATGACATGCACAAATCTGAGTTTGTAATACCTTTTAATTTTCGTTCATTATTCATTTCAACTGTCTAAGTCAACATAATGTTAAACAAATTGTGCCTTAGTTTTGTATGAACAGATAATTCACGTAAGCGCATTAAGTTTTGAATTAGCCTATTGTATCCAGAGCCTTAAAACATGAATCTCATCGTGTTTGTGTCTTAACTCAAGTTCAGAATACAATAATACATGTTTTGGATTAATTGAACTAGTTTATACATAAAATAATCACCCGAAAATTGTTTTATATATATTTTTCTCTAAAAAAAGCAAAGAATGATTGGTTTTGAGAAATTATGTCTTCTGTAGAGTGAATAACAGGTGTGAAATTACAAATACCTGCTGCATATTTCTTGGGTATACTTAAGTTCGAAATATATTTAAGAGAATCTTCCATCTTGAAACGAAGACTACTATAAAATAAATTTCTTGATCTGTTGAAAAGGAATTGGTGACTTAGTGTTATAGGAAACGCTTTGTTTTGGAAGTTCTGTTACTGGCAATTTCAAGAAACGCATGTATTAGGTATAATTTTGACAAATTACACACTTAATAGTCAAACATTATTACATACTTAATAGTCAAACATTATTACATACTTAATAGTCAAACATTATTACAAAAAGTTTAAAAATGATTTACTTCTTTATCCGCCAAGAGTTTTCAATTTAAATAAAAAACACAACAAACAACAACAACAAAAGTTGTCAGTCTGTGTTTTACGATATTTAATTTTTGTTCCTGTTTTATTACTTTAAAATCAGTGTATCGGTTGTTTTACCTGATGTAAGATAGTTGTTATTTATCGTTTCTTATTGTTGTCTAATGTGTGTTAATGTACCAGCTTACATCATGTTGTTCATCCTTACTTGATATTAAATATTTATATTATTTATGCATTTTAATTACTTCCAAAATGTTTTAAGTAAATAAAATCATTCACGTTTTTGTTCTAATTTTACTGCATAATGCGTTTATTATAGCACTACTTATATATAAAAAATATAAACACCATACGAATTATTTTGTATTTGTGAATCGTACACTTGAAATAACTAATATATCTTCATGATTATTCAATTTCTGTAGCACGTATTGGTGTATAGAAGACATTTTAATACCAGCAATAAATGACCTTGTAATACTAAATTGTTGTTTTTATTTAATTATAAGCTAAACGTTTCGTTTTACAGCTTCTTCAGGAGCGTTTTGATTTGTGTTTTAGTTGAACACCCCTGGAGAAGCTGTAAAACGAAACGTTGAGTATCTAATTAAATAAAAACAACAATTTGTTGCTATAATGTCGTTTATTTCTAGTGTTAAAATATATTCATGAGGAGTTAGTTAGGCTGAAAGCTTGCTCTAAGGTAAGCCTTTTTTAAAGCCGTTTAGAGTGATATTCTAAACAAACGATCTGTTGTTCGTGTTCATATTTTAGTTATCATTATGATATATTTATGTCACAGTTTAGGTCTACAAATTCTACAAAAGTAGTAAACCTTCATTTTGACCTGTGAAAAACTGTTTGCCGCAATAACACAACCAGTGAAAAGATATGAAAATATATTGAAATTATGACATTTAAATTAAAAAAAAACTGAACTAAATACTTTGTTTCATTATTTTTTTACAATTTTTTTTAAAAGCGGAACCTCTTTAGAATTGATTTACAAATTTTTTAAAATAATTTTTGCATGTTTTTATTTAAACAAGTAATCAATGACTAACAAATAAATAATCTTAATTATAGAGCGAGTTCTTAGTCAGTCTATTAGAATATCTTGTTTCGTATCCGTATAATATAAGTTGTTTGCATTAAGTGATCTGTCAGATGGTTTAACTGATTTCATTTATTTCGAGAAAATGTTATCCGAAACAAATGATGCCTGATTAAAGTTATTTATCCATATGCTATAATACTGGATTTCAAAGCTGATGAAATATTGACTCCTAATTTAAGGCAGAATAGAGATAGTTGGATTTTGATATACTCAGGTTTTCAGTTAGTATGGAATACTGTATATAGATTATCTGTAAAGCTTTTTCATTCCTTTATTTTAATCGAAGTATGTTAGTAACATAGCTTGTCAAATGGTAATTTTGTAAAAAAAAAAATATTTGTAATAGCCAACATAATCTTCATTATGTAATATCTAAGTAAGTAGCGTAGACATAATACGGTCTAAATGAGAGAACAAAAGATATTGTATAGTGTGTTAAGAATGATAAATATGTCGATAAATCGCATATTTAAGTCACATTACAATATTATACAGTATTTTCATATTTTTGCATTAAAGCTTGAATGTGTTTTCTTGCGGTTTACCAGAGTACGTTTTTATATTGTACATCTTGTATATCCTAATTTTTACTGTATAGATGACTTTCTTTTTTCTGGTGTAATTCGTGTATCATTTTGAAGGTTTCTTTCTAAGTACAGGGTATTATAAAGATAGTTCATAAAGTTGGGCTTGAATCGGTAAAAAATATCAGCATATCTTTGAATTAATAATGTAAAGTGTAAGTTGCATGCCAAATTTTTCACGTTATCCAGAAATTGACTTCCTTCTTTGCTGCTTGGATATATAAATATATATGTTATTTGTGAAATAAAGATGCTTCTGTCACACAAGAAGTTGAGTTTATCTAACATGCAGGAACAACTTGAGACTTTAAACGGAAACATTTTAAAATCGTATTTAGACTTAAAAGATGTCTTTTCAAATTATTCATCCTAAAATAAACTGATGTCATTAATTTGAAGCTTTCCCCAATATATCAAAAACACCAGGAGTACTCGTAAATTACTTCTTGTCTGGAGTATTAATAAGTACCTACTACAGATTTATTTTATCAATAGAGAATCATTACGGAAATATTGCTCACTCATTGTAACCGCAAAGTTTAAATTATATCCTTACTTATAGTTAAATTTATATTACTATAGTTCTGTTTATTCTGAAATCATTTACACTGATAATGCCTCTTTAACGAATAATTATGAACTTAAATAAGTATTTATGTTTAACAGGTAATTCAGGATCAGAGTTATTTTAACAATTAATAAAAGTTAAATCTAACTTTATTAATATAATCTGATTTAATGAACACAACATAATGCTTGTTGTTTACGTAAGTAGTAATTATAAAAAACTTACTGTTTATATATCAGTTAGCTCCTAACGCCTAACAGCTATTTAGCTTCACTAGACACAAATGGTTCTGCTGATGTGTTCAAATATTACCAATCTTTTCTTTAATGTAATGGTTTGATGAATATGAATGAACATGAGAATTTAACTTTAGTATTAATATTTAAAAACATGCTTTTTAATATAAAAGTCAAGAGGTACAGATTTTGACTACTCGTGTGGTCATTATTAGGTAACTGTCGTCTATTATATGAAATATTACACGAGCATTTTGTTCGAACTTAAAAAACATATAGAGTCACACCTGCCTGTGTTTTGATTTACTGCCACAAATAACAATGGTTGATGTTATGATAAACCAAATTACACATCGAGTAACTGGCATAATCCACGACTAAAATAAAATAAACAAAAAACTGCAAGTCGGTCCATATCATGCCTCTAATACTTTACAATTTCATATGCACAATGTAATAGGGTTTCAATGTCTTATACTAATACTTACCCAAAGTAGCATAAATAACGAAAATTCAAAGCCATTGACTCCTCTACAAACAAAAGGGCGAGTTTCACTTGAACCAAGGTGGCGTCATTGTCCCACAATGCTGTCTGTTACAGTTATTCTAGAGTGAAAATGCTTTACGATTCGAGGCCGTTAAAATATACGATATTCTATTGTAATTTTTATGGCAATGTTTTACAGTTTGTAATCTTAGGTTTATTTCTTTTCCCTAAGGTGAAATTTTGAAAGCTTTATCCCACATTAATTTTCAGAATTCATTACTATTAAAGTTCTCGTGAAGTTAAAGCACCATATCTCAATAGCTAATAAAGATTAACAACTATTGATTTTTGAGATTCCCAAAGTGGGTTTCGTTTTAAAAATATCCATTTTGTTTCACTTACGATGTATAATCACACTAATATAAACCAAGATGGTTCGAAAACTGACCATATTACCGTCTTTTCATACTGTTGCCGGATGTCTCCAACTTCGTAGGGGAAACTCGTGGATAACATTTAATGAATGATGTATTCCGCATTAATTTGTTCAGACCTAAGACGTGTTGAGTACGCACGGGGTTGAGTACGATATATAAAAACAGTTTTGAATATCCAAATCAATAAGTCACACAACCACAGCCAATATAAAGTCGAAATCTAAGGGATATATCTGAACTACATTTTAACATTGTTTGGCGCTTACTGGGTACTGTGATACCATCGCAAATTGATTGTTTTTAGGGATGACTAGTAACAGCCCTTTCTGAAGCAAAATATTCATACACTCTGGCCATAAAGATGTGTTCATATCGGGATTTTATAATTTTCAACATGGGGATAAACTTTACTAAATGGAATTATAAAACAAAGGAGTATGGATCAACTTGAGAAACCAGTACTATCCAAAAAGAGAATTGCAACAAGTCGTACCCCAGTCATGGTAAGCAAACTGCAGCATCTTGCAACAGGTAAGAATCAACAAACATAAAATTCAGTGGCAAAAGCCCTCCAAGTATTTCTCATCCACATTCCCTATTGTTAGCCAACCTAACACCATATAGTTGAACCGTTTCAATATTTCATTCAAGAGGAATGGAAGGCCAATTTCTTAGTTTTCTTAATTCTCAATAATTAATTTATTCCATCAAACAGTATTGACTAGCCTTGATAAGCTTAAAGCTCCATGGATACTCCATTTTTCGATACGAACTTACTGAGCAGCTTTCACGCTATTGTCTTCAACTTTTATGTTTTATGCAGCATATGACCATTAATTTGCACTTGTTTCCATCTCTCGAATGTGCTAATGAACTAAGGATATAAACAGACACTCTTTTAAGTACTGATCTAACACTACGCTATTGTAAATGCCTGCTAATAAACTCATATTAGTTTAAAATACGCAAGAAACATCTTAAAAATTAAGGAAAATGATACGTAAAGGAGAAACCAGAATACATCATAAAGGTAAGCAGGTACAGATTAATGTGAACATTTGAAATTATTTTCAAACAACAAAAAATGTATTTTTTTTTGTTCTACTTATGTACGTTTATTAAAAAGAAAATTCGAAATACCCAAAAATAGAGAGTTTGCGTTAATACAATGATAATCAAGATTTATATAGCCTTCTGTGAATTTTATCACCCAAATGGACAATAATCTCAAGTCTATAAACAAATATGTTTTAGAAACATACATCCTAAAATAAAGAACATGATAAGAATATTTTAGAAGTTGACAATAGATGGAGACATAGTACGGTCGAGTAAATTATATATTTAGTCTAAATACATAAATGTGTATTTATTTTCCAACTCTTTTTATATAAATTACACGGCTAGGATACTAAAAATAAATAAGATGCCCGGTCTGTAATTCAATTCCCCACTAGTCATTGCGTTATACCGGTTTCAAGGAATTCCACCCCTCATCAATAACCCTGGATAAGGACAATTAAAACAAAACAAAAAGAGTAGGCTTCTTATAGAGGTAGACCATATATCATAATTGTCTTTTACATAAAATATTGAACATATATTTATATAGGATTTGAAGAATATGTAGCATAGATGCTAGTAATTTAACCATTAATGAGCTTATGTGTCTTATGTGTTTGTTTTTATAAAGTTAGTTAAAATTTGACTATATCAGGATCAGAAAATTCTAACATAAAGGTCTTAGGTGTCTTTTGATTACATGTAAACTCTTTAAAACTTTTGATTTTATGGCTTCTTTATTTAGAATTTGCACGCAAAGCTATACAGGGGTCATATACCCATAGCCCTCCCTAATCATGAACTGACAGACTAGAAGAAAGGCAGCTAGTCAACAGCTCTTTCTACCAACTCTTGAACTATTCTTGTCAGAGTGAGTAGTGTAGGATTTGACTGTTACGCTTATGTCATGCCAACCAGTAGTGGGACGCAAACTATAGATTCTCAGAAATTGTTTGATAAGGAAAAAAAAAGAATAATTAGCACTACAAAATCGTTAGGATACTACTGAGATATACAAGGTATCCTTGAATATTGAACCACTTTCTCAACTGAATAGAATAGAAACCACACTAGATAAACAGTTGCTGTTTCCGCATGTGTGAAACGTACGGTTGAAATTTTTTTTCCCACTAGCTTAGATATGTGTATATGAAAGACACTATGTACAAGACAAAGGCACTGGATGTGGGAACTTTTTGTGCCAGGATAATCAATACAATTATGACTATTACTTCAGAGATGTTGGCGTATATGTGGGCGGAGATCTATTATCGCATGAACGCAGTTCGAGCCACCAATGTTGCCAATGTTGAGCTGTTCTTGAGGTGTCACTGTCCATGGACAAACCTAAGGTATTAGACTTCCTTATACCCTAAACCGTAGTTCTTTATCTTGCGCCGTTCTCATTCTATCCAATCAATAATTTATGAACATCCTGTTTTTCAAACTATTATAAAATTATTCGAATTATGAAAATCATAAACTCCAAAAATATGAAAACCGAAACCCAAAATCTATCCTTAAATATATGAAGTATTCTTTCGGTATATCTTTTTTAATTTTATCCATTATTGATATACTTCTTATTTTCCTGATCATTATGGTCGTGTAATATTGTTAATTGTATTATGTGAGGCAGTTTTAATACTGCAGTTTGGAAGAAGGAAAGGCTGAAAGTGAGAACTATTCTACAGTAACGGTACCCGTATAAAATAATAAATATATAGTTACATTTTTATGGACTTTGTATGAAGTGTTGTTCAAAATAAGCCTTCAGGTGATTATGCCAATCATTCTGCAAAACATTTGATTCTTCTTTATTTGGTTACAGTTTGGTGTCTTCTAGACAGGGTAGAATTATGTAGAAACGTTGTATTGTGGAGATAAAGTAACGTGAAAAGTCTAGATTTGTTACGATGGCAGTCCTTACAGGAAGACTGTGCATTAATCGTTTCGAATAAAATTAAAACTTCTGTATCTGTGGCTTTGCTCTTAACGAAAAAAAAAAAAAACAGTTTGTATCTGTGGAAATTAATCGCCAAAAAACTCAAACAAACTTGTCATTACACATAACAGTTGGAAGTATTTACGACTGCCGAACATCAATAACTCAATAAGTTTCAGAAGAAACTGTACAGCCAAATGGTAGGTGAATTTACTCTATTAACTGTTGAACTAAAAATTACACAAGAGGGAATCCTCTATAGCCACGGCACTTGAAATTCTTTTAAGCAGGATTAGAGTAAATTAATGTATAAGACCTTCCACCTCTCTCCTTTTTATTAGCTATATTTTTGTGCGCCAGAAAAAAAATCCAGCGTGGAGCGCGCGTATACTCGATTCGATTTTATTACTCATCAGGATTTCTACAAGCCTACCGTCAAATTGAAATTATTTTAGGCAGGATTAGAACAAATTAATCTATGAGACCTTAGCGTGGTCAAATATATCAATCGAAAAAGTTAGACCTCCTGAGTCGAAAACTGTAATTAGATCTCAAATCGGTCAAGAGATGACGGAGCTATGAGCTAAAAATTGGTACTTGAAAAAAAATAAAAATAACAGCAAAAACTCATATCCGTTGAATTTTGATTATTGGTCTTTGAATGGCCTAGATGTCATAG